TACACAGCAGATAGAATGATTTTGGAGGCTATTCTTCAAATCAGGTGTAGTGTTTGAGAAAACTTCATCCAAGATTTTTTGGATAAACAAGATAGAATAAAAGAAAATGAAGCAGACTATTCTAGACAGAAAAAAGAAAAGCTACAGGCAGATCATTTTTACATGTAATTGGAATGATCAGTGCAGGAGGTAAAGAGGTCATGGGGCTACTTAGTTCATTACAGTATCTGTTATTATATCCAGAAACAGATATTTCAAAGGAAGGTGCAAGAAGCCTCTTACATCTTAGTAATCAGAGATTTCACTTAAATCCTGCACTACAAAGGTTAACATCTCATCCAAAACTCATTAACACATATTTTGGAAACATTAGGCTTGATGTCATTTTTTTCCTACACAAACTAAGAAATGATCCCTGAACATGAAGTTACATTTTTATGGGTTTGTTTTTCCAGACTGATGAACAGTAAGGCGTTTGAAACCAGTCCCACAGCACTCTGCAGGAGAAGCTGGCAGCTCATGGCCTAGACAGGTGGACTCTTGGCTGGGTTGAAAACTGGCTGGATGGCCAAGCCCCGAGAGCTGTGGGGAATGGAGTTAAATCCATTTGGCATCCGGTCACGAGCGGTGTCCCTCAGGGCTTGTTTTTGGGACCAGTCTTGTTTAATGTCTTTATCAATGACCTGGATGAGGGGATCAAATGCACCCTCAGTAACTTTGCAGATGACATGAAATTAAGTGGGAGTGTTGATCTGTTTGAAGGTAGGAAGGCTCTGCAGAGGGATCTGGACAGGCTGGAGCAATGGGATGAGGTCAGTTTTATGAGGTTTAACAAGGCCAAGTGCCGGGTCCTGCACTTGGGTCACACCAACCCCAGGCAATGCTCCAGGCTTGGGAAGGAGTGGCTGGAAAGTGCCTGGTGGAAAAGGACCTGGGGGTGTTGGTGGATGGCCAGCTGAACATGAGCCAGCACTGTGCCCAGGTGGCCAGGAAGGCCAATGGCATCCTGGCCTGTATCAGAAATGGTGTGACCAGCAGGAGTAGGGCGGTGGTGGTGCCCCTGTACTGAGCACTGGTGAGACAGAATCTTGAGTCCTGTGTCCAGTCTGGGACACCACAGGATAAGAAGGACATAGAGGTGCCTGAGCAGGTCCAGAGAAGGGCAACAAAGCTGGTGAGAGGTCTGGAAAACATGCCTCATGAGGAGCGGCTGAGGGAACTGGGCTTGTTTAGCCTAGAGAAAACTGAGGGGAGACCTTATTGCTCTCTACAGCTACCTAAATGGAGGTTGTGGTGAGGCTGGTGTTGGTCTCTTCTTCCAAATTACTGAGGATAGGACAAGAGAAAATGGCCTCAAGTTGTGCCAGGGAAGATTTCTGTTAGATATTAAGAAGAATTTCTTCACTGAGAGAGTGGTTAGGCACTGAAATGGACTGCCCGGGGAGGTGATAGAGTTATCATCTCTGGAGGTGTTCAGAAAACAAGTGGAAGTGGCACTTGAGGCTATGGTCTATTGGTTAGGGAAATGTTGGGAGGAAGGTTGGACTTGATGATCCTGGAGGTCCTTTCCAGCCATGGTGATTCTATGTACTAAGTGACATGTACTATAATTGTTCAGAAAAGCTGCAGATTATTTTTCATTGTCTTAGTCCTGTTTTGTCCATTTGTTAATCATTTAAACATGCTATGGAAGCTACACATGAAATTTATGTGTGGAAGCTACTTAGCTACATAGTAAGTTAGATAATTTTAATCTACGAATCAAGTGTTGGTCCTGTTAGTTCAAGCCTAACCAGATCCAGAGGCTTGACAAGAATTAAAGATACACTGTTTTTCATTCCATTGTGTTTCATGAGAATCTAGTAGTGGATGGCATGGGAACATCTTTGTTCAGTCTTAAAAGAAACTTGGGAAACTGTTGGGAAGTTTTTATGTAGCCAAGAGTGTCTGATGAAAATTAGATTTAAAGGAAAACCTGAACATGAGACAGTAACCTTAAGTTAAACCATCTGGAAGCTTATTCCTCCTGACTTCCTTATTCCCTAGGAAACAAGAAAAGTACTTTTTCTTGTCATTCTTTGGCTACATCCTGTGAATATTAGAGCTCTAGAAAATGATGGTGAGGAACTCCTGTGAGGTAACTGTGTATTACTTACTTTGTACAAGAACTTTCATAATCAATATGTCTCTTAATCTTTGTGTCTTCTGTCCTGTTCCCTCTGACATCAAACGTATGAAGTCAAATGAATAACAGTTAATGAGTGATTACTGTCTCATACTAGCTACAGGCATTTCTTTCTGCAAATGATTCTGAGCAATTGCTTAAAAGGACGTGCCCAGTGTTACTCCACAGCCTTTGGAGAATTCCTTCCAGTGGTCCCCTCTTAAAACTGAGCATTGTAGGCCATGAAAACCACAGGGCTTTGTTTGAACCCAGACCTTTGTGCATGCCTCTATCACACAACAGTTACCCCTGTTGCACCTCCATAGTTAATTACTTTTGAGGACTTTCTCATCACAGCATGAACGGAGCATGACTTTATCTGGTGACAGGATAATCTCATTACAGATGATGATCTTGTTAATGAATATCCCCAAGACAGAGCAATCTCATTATTAGCCCCCTCAGGATTTGTCACCCAGGAGTCAATGTATGATTAGAGTCTAGCTGTTCAGCATCCTCTCAGATCTTAATAGCCCAATATCTTGAGGCTGAGGTAGCACCCCTAAAGGCAGATGAACCACTGGACATATTTAATTAGGATTTTTGTCCTTAAGTACTTCTGGATATACTTCTCAGGTGAGCAGTCAAGACAGTTTAAGTGCTATGTGCAGGGTTCATCTCTCCACTGTTGTGTAGAACAAACACAACGCAGTGGCATCAAGGACAGTGGAAGCAGTGGGGTTTTACCACTCTGGTGGTGGCCTCAGGGCAGTACCAGGAGGAGAAGGCTGTTTCCTCAGTAGTGTCCTCTCCAAGTAATCACTCTGTGTGGTGTCCTACCTACAAGTTACAGACCTGCTGGCCAATGGTCAGACCTTCATACCACTGGTGTCTGTTTCCTTGTGAAGTGTATCTAAAAAGAATGCTGAAAATTATTGCCATGAAAAACATCCATCTAGTTAAAATCAACCTGATTTTAATTTTTTCCATTTTTTTTTCTGGCAAGGTTAGGGTCAAGGCTGAAGTCTAGTATCTCCTCTGGGCATCAATGAGCTGTTGAACTGTCCCAATGGCCTGTGAAACTTCAGCCTGTGAGAAGCATTCACTCCTAGAAAGCTAATAACAACATAAAAGTTGTTTTACAGAAAACTAACACATTATTTTGAGATAAATGTATTTAACTCAACTGCTGTATCAAAAAAAAAAAAAAATTAGAATATTTACTTTTCTGGATGAGTCCATCAAAGGGAATTAGCAAGGGAAAAAGTATCATTGCTGCTATTTTTTTTTTAATATGTAATAACGTGTTTGTACACTGTGCTTTACAGACATGCAGAAAGGTGGATTGTTTATCAAAGAAAATGGTAAGAGGGAAGAACAATGGTTGCAAGAGTGAGAGTTACCAAGATGCTAGTTTTCTAAATGATCCATATTACAGTGCAGCCAAGGTTTCCTCTTGGTCCTATAGTGTTAACAAAACCCATGCTAGATGGGAGACTGGCAGTGCAGAAAAGCAATACATTTTCTTAATTAATCTAATGGATAGCAGGAACCTGAGCACTAAATCCCACCCATTTGATTTCATTAAATCCACTATAAAGGCTAAGCTGCACTTTAGCATTGGGTCTAGACGGCCTCATCAGAGTGAGGTCAAGGAGATCTCATTCAAGGAGGTGCAACTTAGTAAATGCCTGTTCATGAGGAATTTCATGTTCACTGATGAACAGTTCTGTTCTGATGAGAAAGCTAGGCAGTGGGGCACACCAAATAGTAAATGTCCTGTTTTATCTCACCTGCAGTTTTCCTGACATGTATGCTTTGAAGAGTTTGCAGAGAACCACTGAAAGCTAAATCTCCATTTAATGCTCCAAGGAACCCCAGTGTCATTGGAAACTCAATTTTTTTTCTCAGCCTCAGGTCGCTTGCAAGCTGCATCAGGGCCTATGTCAGAGCAGCCTCAAGAAAGTTCAGGGACTAGGCAGTGTTCTGTCTAATCTGCCTATAAAAGAAGGTCAGTGGGAGTTAAAGCACTTGGTGGAGAGCTGTATAGCTTGGCAGAGGCAAGCTACACAAGCCAGAGGAGGGACACTGGTCATCCTCTGGCAGTGGTGGGCAGGGAGCTAAAGAGGAAAGAAAATGCTGGAGTGACCATAACATTTTCCTTGCTCCTCACTGCAGAGGCCCACCTGCCCATGAAGGACTGTCCTCTGCATTCCACACACTGGCATGAACGTCAGCTGGGGGCACAGTCCACTTCCCAATGTACTCCTGGCAAAGCAAAAATATATTGTACTTTGTATTGATTTAGGAAAAAAAAATACAACTCATTTTTAGATTTAAAAAAAAAGGACTATATGACAAAACTGCCCCTTAGTGGTTTTAATTTCAAAGTTGTGGCCCTGCCTCACATAGGAAGAGGTGAGGGGATTGATCAGATTTCCTTCAGAGACCCCTGATACCTGAATTATTCTATGAATCTGTAAAAATATGTGTGGAGTTTCATACCTGTGTGTTTATAACTGATTATTGCCTTTCCTCCTGTGAACTGAGCCATCACATCTGTAGGTTATATAAAACTGTCCCTTGAGCCTCAGGGAACAGTCAATGGGATTCAGTCCCCGGATGTGCAGCCCCAGCTTGCAAGGTCCTTCAGGTAACCAGGATCTCACACTGGGGAGCATCCCTTTAAACACAGAAGCTGCAGCTTACTGGCAAGCTTCTGAAGAAACTGGTGTGTTGGCAATCCTAAGAGAAGCAAGGAAAGTAGAATAATTAGGCGTGAGCTGCATTAATGTTATGCAAAAGATACTATACATATTGTATTTTCTTTCCACAGCTTAATGTCTGGGCTAGCAGCCCTGGATGCCAAGACTTCCAGTCGATTAGGAATCATAACTGTCACTTACTACCTGTGGACAACGTTCGTAGCTGTGGTTGTGGGAATAATTATGGTCTCCATTATCCACCCTGGTGGAGCAGCACAGAAGGAGAGCACTGAAGAGGGTGGAAAGCCCATCATGAGCTCTGCAGATGCACTGCTTGACTTAATCCGGTAACCACATCCCTTCTTTCTGTTTTCTGAAGGTAGCATTTCATACATAGCTGCATGAGGAACTGTGGCCTGAAGATAAGTTCTGAACCTAAGGATGAATCTTTTGTTTAAATCAGGAAAAAGTAAATTTCAAAAGATGATTTTCAAGTTATTAGACATTTGCACCAAATGTATCAGAAGTACTAACAATATTGGGTTAGGGGTTTTTCCTCCCCCCCTGGAATCACATGTAGCCTGTGGACCTTACCATCACTCTATAATTGAGGTCAAGAGAGTATTAAAATGTACAGTTAATTTAAATAAGGGCAGACTGTTGTAACAGGCAACGTCTTAAATATAAGGCCTGAAATCCACATTTTTTTCAGGAAATAAATCTTAGAAGTGCTGATACAACTGCTCATAGCAACTTTCAGATAAAGGACACTATTAGAAAAACCGCTCATAATCTTTTTCTTTGCTCTTTTTGTTATATTGTTTGCTCTTTTTTGTGGCTTTTTCTTGCTTGTTTTACTTGGCTTGGCAGAAAGGAGGCTTGTTCTTTTAGACCAGCATTAGAGCAATGATACTGTTGTGGTAGCCTGGCTTGAATATCCCTCTTTGTCTCAACATTTCAGGTGCTTGTGGGACTAGTTTCCTGACTGAACTTAGTATGTGCCTCAGATTTGTTTTGCTCAAGCAGAAAGACCAAGTTTTGCTTTTCATTGGGAGTTCTTCAAGTCAGCGATTTCATACAGTATGGGGCAAGGGCTTTTAGGCCAAGTGTTATCTGAACCACAGAGTTCTCTTTGGATTTTGATTATTAAAATTAAAAATATTGCACAGTTTGTATTTTAAAAACTGAAATTCCTGACCAGAAACCTGTTTGGTTTTCTACTGTACCAATGTCTTCCTCAGAATGGGCCAAATTAAATCAGTCATAGAGCAGCAGCTGAGCACACACTCTTTTGTAACTTCCCACAAAACCATCATCTTCACCTGCAATGGGAAGCTGCCCACTTCAGGGCATCTGTATCTCCCCAGAGACTTTGCCAGGATGTATGTGCAGTGGAACCCACACGTGTGTTTGTGACATAATCTTCATAACGTTGTTCTGTTTCTCCTGCATAAAGTTCTGTAATTCCTACACCAAGAGGAAAGAACTGAGCAGGTTACTGAAGCTTTGAATCTGACAGAGTAGCATAAGAAGTAAAAAGGAATTTAAGAAAACTGTAATCTAAATTATCTTCAAGAGTGGCAATGTCTGGCAACCCTTTCTGGTGTTCTAAGCTGTTCCTAAGGCCTTGGTCTAAGACCAGTAAAGGCACTGTGAGACACATGGTGCAAAGTTACATCCAAACTGCCCCTACAGCTGTCTCTGGAAAGGGTCTCCCTCTCCACAGGTTCCCATCTCCTTCCTCACACCAGCCCAGTTGCTTTTTGAGACCCAGAGTTCATGGAGATGAGTCAGATGAAAAGTCATTTGGGCATGCAAAGTCTAAATTCAGTTCTATATTATTATGTTTGCATAAACCAACCAAAAGTCTCTATGACTGGAACCTGAGGTCTGAGGTTCATTCTCATCCCTTCATCTCTGGCTAGTCTCTGTACACCACAGGTTTAGTGGTGAGGCTGGGGAACACTTTGTTCTGCTGAGCCTCATTGCAGGTAAAATACTAGGTCCTGGTCTAAAAATTTGCAAATATAATCTATAATTTCACATCCTACAAATATTTACCTAAGAAAATTATAGTAGTCTATGTGCATATTTCAGTTATTCATGTTTCCCACCAGGCAAGTGCTTTTAGGTTATGAAACATTAAAGTCTTTGCTAGTTTGGATAGGTGTTAACTCTGGCAGGCCAACAAGCCACTCTCATTACCACAGTGAAAGAGAGAGAATAAAGCTCTCTCTCCTTTTGCTGTGATAAGCAGCACCCACAGCTGCAGCCTTTCTACCTCATGTGCACAAAGTGGTGGCTCGCATTCCTCTGTTACAGAAATAATAATCACATTTAACAAATAAATAAGTAAAAGTAACACGACAGTGGGGAATGGGCTTTCAGCCTAAGCAAACACTATGGGTGAAATCCTGGCTCTGCTGAAGTCAACTGCAAAACTCCTAAATATCTGTGTGGAAGTCTGGATTAAATGTAATGATGTATCTGCTGGTTTAAGCTAGAAAAGCTGATCCTTTAGCTCAATGATAAATCACTTCCATTCACAGCTGGAGACCATCTTTTTCAGCCCAGATTGGCTTATCTTCTCAATTCATTAATTTCCTCTCGATTTATCAATTGCATATGTGCACAGAAGTTTACACAGGAAACATCTGGTATTCTGCAAATGAGGAATGCTAAATGTACAAGAAAAGGGATGATATATGTGACATAATTATGGGGTTTATTTTAAAAGCATGAATCTTGGCATGGTGATACGCGTATTCTTCCTCACTGATTTCAGATTTGAAGCCACTTTAAAATGATTAAATACATTATTATTTATTGTGATGTTATATATGACATTGTCAGGTCTGGAATTTTTGGCGGGGAGGATGTTGCTACAAATTGAATTTCTTGAATTTTTGGGCAAGGGTTTTGCTTTTAGAAGGGGTTTTAATCAGATATTAAAGAATGTATTGCCTTAGCAAGAAATGAAACAAACAACTACTGTAGAGCTTCAGGGTCATCCTAAATACCTGCAACATTAATCAATAATCATGTTATTATTTTGCATTATTTTGCAGACTGTGCTTCCCCTGTATATGTATCTGTTATGTAAAAAAAAAACAGCAATAAACCCTCCAGTATATATGACTTGATTAGGACATAACAGTGACACTGTACTGCATAATTCTGGAATAGCTCTAAACCTCACATCAAGCACAACGTACATAATCTCATCAACATATTGAATTTCATGCCTGAAAATCTGCATCCATAAGCCAATCATTTTTTGCCACACTAAACATCAGTACTTGAAAGATTTCCTACCTAAAGGGAATCCCTAGAGTCTGGGGACAAGATCTGTGCACGTGAACCTGCCCCTACTGATTTCCCCCTAGATTTAATCTGGACAGAGAGGCCACTGAATGCAGCATACCTAGAAGTATTTTCAACATTCAGCTACTCTTTATACCTAAAATCTTTAGTGCTGCTTTGGCATTAAATGTCTGAAATTTTGCTTTAGTCTGATCCAGCTCCTGCTCCTTGTGGAAGTTACCTGTTTAACTAGGTAGTTGACCTTTGTACCTGTGCAGGGATCTCCCCTTGCATAACTTGTCCTTCTCTATCAGCAGCATGCCAGGACCCAGACTAAGGACAAGTGATTCAGGTGGCAGCTGGGAGTCTGAGGCTGTGCAGGAGATGCTGTTCTGATGATCATTCTCTCTTTAGCTGCCCCTTCATTACTACATTGAGACATGTACAAATCTGCCTTAATTATATTAAATGTTTCTGGTGCAAGCACTTCAAGGCTCATGAAAGTATATTTTCTTCGTTATTTAAAACTATAAATTCTCAGGCTAAGGATCATCCTGTTCTTTTTAGTGCATCTGGTGCTTTATGAATTTTAATGGATTATTCTCATGGTGTGCCACACTTCTGTGAGGTAGGCAAGGACCATTTTCCTTTCTTACAGCAAGGGGGCCAAGACATATGGAAAAGAAATTACCTCACTGAGGATTGTTCAGAAAAATCTCTGGTACCAGAGGAAATATTCCCAGCTCACATGAGACCTAGTAGGGATCTTGTTTGAGGAATGTGGGTTTTTGTGGCACCTCAATGGTGCAATGAGCCAATACACTCCTTTACCTTATTTTTCCTGTGTGAATTATCGAAATTAACTCTGCACTAATGTCCCCAAAAGTAAAAAGTGAATTTTTAGTAGCCTTTTGTGAGTTAAGAAATGCAGAAAGGTGAGATATCATTTTTTTTAAAATAATTCAGACTTTGTTTTCTTCAAAAAGAAGAAAAGAGACATATTTACAGGAAGAGTGTTCAATTTAAAATATTAGGTTTGTTTAATTCTGCAACATATATTCACCTGACAAGCAGAACAGAATATGGTGATGATTTGAGGATGATAATATGTAAAACAAAATATATGACTCAGGACCACACTGTTTACATTAGCAGTTAGTATTTCCACCACATTCTGTTGATGTTATCAAAATATCTTTGATTTAGAAGGACAAATCCTGCTGCGACTTAAATCATGCTTCTTGCATTTGTCACCAAGGAAAACAAAATTTGGCTCATGAGATAAAAACAAATAAGCAGGAACCATAAAGATTCCCATGAAGAAACAAATCCCAGCCAAACTGGGGGTTCCTCCTCCTGTCTTATATAATAAGGCTGACTGGGTGTGCAGATTTGAGCACTAGCAAGTGCAGGGTTCACATATATTTTCATTTTCTTTCAAGTCTAACCAGACAGCATGACATCACAGGCTTATTCTGTTCAAAACAGTTCCAAATAAAACAATTCAGTGAATACAAATCATGCCTTAACCCATGTCACACAAATTTGTACATTCCTGAAGTTTGCTGGGAGGATAAATCGGAGTATTTTACCACTGAATATTCAGGGTTGCATCCAATTTGATAGCAGGTACCAGGAAACTCAATCTGGCTTAAGCAAGATTTTTTTTTTTTTTTTAAAATACCATTAGTAGTTAGAAGAGGATATAAACACTGCAGAGGATTTATGGTTTCATGGGAATCCTGAGCACTCTTTAAAATCACTTCCTTTCCCTCTTTCCAAGCTAACAGCTATATTTTATTGAAATTGTGTTCCTTGAAAATATGACAGGAGAAACCAAATACCTACTGTAGTTTGGGAAAAATCCAGGCTGTGCAGAACCAGAAATCACACTTTTAAGAAGTTTACATCTGAAGACTGAATTGTTTATATGTGCAATAAGGTATCTAAGAGAGTGATGAATGATCCAGGGTTTAGGCTATGAAAGAACTTTTTAACAACTCTTTACCCACATTTATGTATCTCTTGCCAAAAGCCACTGTGT